CGCTGGCAAGGAAATTGTCATACCTACTTGGCTAATGGCTCCCAGCAGTTACACATCTGTTGTGTTCTTGCTGTGAATTATTCCCTCACTCCAATGCCTAAATATTTATAAGTTCACTCCTTAAACAAAAAGTTTATGCTTGGTTTTAAATAATTTAATATGGAGCTTCTTGGTACACTAACTTGAATAATTCTCATGTCAGAATTAACCTCAACATGACTCCATTCAGAAGTGCTACCTAAAGGAAACCAGTGTTAGAAGGAATTGAAATTTATTATATACATATGTATAATTTATATTTTATGTACTTATAATATATAAATATGCTTCTAATTTAGAATTCATTTATAATTTATACTAAGACATATATATGTAAGGAACAAAAAAAAAGTACTTCAGACTTTTTTGTTCCTTTAGGAAGTCATGTACCCTCTGGAGATGGAAATTTCCTTATGCTGAGGGTTTCTCATTTCATTTTCCACCCCAAAAATCCCCAAAGTTCAAACCTCATTTCCTAAACATAGGGAAGGCAACAAAATATATCAACGACATGACAATCAATGTTCATGACAAATGAGTTCAAACTGAAACAGGTTTTGATTTTTTCTTTTCTCCCCCGCCCCCACAGTGCTGGGGATCCCCAAGACTTCACACATTGGAGACAAGCACCCTACCAGGAAGCTACATTCCCATTTATTTATTTATTTATTGGTACCAAGGACTGAACCCAGGAGTGCGTTTTACCAGTGAGCCACATCTCCAGCCCTTTTAATTTTTTATTTAGAGACACAGTCTTGCTAAGTTGCTTAGGCTGGCTTGGAACTTTCAATTCTCTCAGTCACTGGGATCACAGGCATGGGCCTCAGCAAAAGCCCAGATTGCTTTTTTCCACATTTACTGACCTGCACTCTGGCTTCAGTCACACCCATCTGTCTTGCAATCTCCTTTCTGAGGAGAAAACATTGCAAATATTAAATATCTGGCATTGTGGATGAAAAAATATACAAAGTACATTTCATGTTTGTTTTTAAATGTTTGTGCCATCAAACCTCCCCCAACCCCGTGTGTGCTACTCTGTAATATCCACCCTGAGGCTTGCTTTAGGGACAGTTTTCTCTCAGATGCAAACTTTACCGGGTGGCCAAAACACCAATAATCATGAGAAATAATGTTCTAATGTATTTACAAATATAAAAATTAATGCCAAAAATCCACAATAAACAGCTTGATTCATTTAAATACTGTATGGAAATATTTACCTTCATTCCCAGTTGGCATAACCACATTCCCACCCTAGAACCAAATGCAGGAGAACAGGCTGGGCAGCAAGGAGGGGACTTTTATTTCAGGAAAGGAAGAGAAGGACCCAGAAGAGAGCCAAAGTATGTGCTCCCAGCAAATGGCACCCAGAAGGACAATCTGCTTACCTCACTGGGCCGTTGGGGTATTGATTGCGTTGGAAAATGCTCTCCAATTCCTGCAATTGCCCTGGGGTGAACCTGGTGTGCTCTTAGAGCTGCTGCAAGTCTGCAGACAGTACACTCCCATCGCCCTCATCCTCAGGGGTTCCCTCCTCCTGCTGCAGCTGGTGCTCCTCATCACCACTGTAGGCGCCACCACCCTCAAGGTTCCTGTCGTCAATTGGGCCCTGAGCACTGGCGCCAACATGGCCTTCTTCTCCTTCCTCTTCTTCTCTTTCCTCTTCTTCTCGTTCCTCTTCCTCCTCCTCCTCCTCCTCTTCCTCCTCCTCTTCTTCTTCTCCTTCTTCCTCTCCTTCTTCCTCTTCTTCTCTTTCCTCCTCCTCTTCTTCATCTTCCTCTTCATCTTCTGCTCCTTCCTCCTCTTCTCCTTCCTCTCCTTGTTCTGCTCCCTGCTCAGGCTCACTCTGTACACCTTCTTTTTTCTCTTCTTCCTCTACAGCAACGGTGGTCACCACTGGCTTTCCACCTGGAAAGGAAGAAGCACAAAGAGAAAAAGTGAAAGATCAAGGCTTTGGGGCCTAGGGTACTTGGGAAGGTGCCGTACAACACGAGGGCGGCGGGGGTTGGGGGACAGAATCCGTCCACTCGCCTCGGCCAGGAAATGTTCGCTTTCTGGAGATCACTAAAGCACTCATCCGGTCCAGGAACGGACCAAGCTGTTCTTCCCCATTTTCCTCAGCTCCTAGGCTGAGCAAGCTGCCGGCATCATGACTGTGGCCCTGAGGAGGCTCCATGCTCTGGGTGCTATGGATGAAGCTGTGGGCTTTTGAAGATTCTAAACTAGTGCCCCTGTGTTTGCCTGAGCAAAATGAGAGCCCTGACGTGAGGCTGCAAGGGTTCTCTTTTGGCGCCAAGATCTCGATACAATGTATCAGTTGCTGTGGGTTGAGTCTCCAAGGCATATAAGGTACAGGGGCTTGGAGTTGCAATGAGCAGGGTGTACTTGCAAGGAGGACAGGAAGGTGAGCCTATGTGAGTGCAGAATTGGGGTCTCTAAATTGCAGGTTAGCTGTCTAATCCCACCTTGCTGAGGTATCTTTCCTGGGAAGGTGCAATGCTGAGCTGTGCAGATGAATTTTCAGGGAGGAAGAGAAAGATCTCTCCAGAGGCTTCGGAGAAATGTTTGAAGAATACCTCTTGGACTAACCCTCCACATCCAACAGCCAGTAGTTAAGCTAATATCTAGGAGGCCATTAATACCAGAAGTTTATAGAATCACTGCTGTTTGTGACTACATGCATGATTATCTAGGATCATCTAGGAGGCTATTGCTCTGAACTTTTGTAGAGGTTGAAGTCAAAGCCTGCCATGCTTCCCAGGTCTCCAGGAACCAAAGCTTGGGGGCCAGGTTTTCCAGAGCAGCCAGTGGCTCCTATCTATACACTTTGAAAAAAAAAAAATGAACCTAGAGAAAGTCCATGGCCTCTAAATTTTTAGTAATGCATCTACAGCAAAATGCAAGAGTAGAAAAGTGCACAGTGCTTAGAGAATCCCAGATTATATAAACTGTAGGGAGCCTTTCATTTTCCCCTAGTCATTGACTGTGGAAAATACAACCTCTATGTTTCTTGTTGCAGACCCTCTACAAAAGTACACTTGTCCCCTGTGCGGAACTGATGCTGTGAACCTGGGATGGGTTACTGCACTTTCCTGATGCTGTCTCCTCCCCTTTCACTCTACTCCTCCTTTTTTCTAGAAATATCTTTCTGAGCTCTTGTTTAGGAATATGTTTTATTTACTGCCATAGAAATAGATTTGGACAGATTAAGGGCTCTAAGTTTTTTCCTTTATAGAAGTGTTTTGTAGCTGGGTGCTATGGCACACGTCTGGAATCTCAGCAACTGGAGAAGCTGAGGCAGCACTGTAAGTTTAAGGTCAACCTCAGCAACTTAGCAAGACCCTGTCTCAAAATAAATAGGTCTGGGGATGTAGTTCAGCGGTAAAGTACCCCTGGGTTCAATCTCTAGTAACTCCACCCCAAAAAAGTCACCAATAAATGGAACATTGTATTTTTTTTTTAATTTTTTATTGTTGGCTGTTCAAAACATTACATAGTACTTGATATATCATATTTCACAATTTGATTCAAGTGGGTTATGAGCTCCCATTTTTACCCCATATACAGATTGCAGAATCACATCAGTTACACATCCATTGATTTACATATTGCCATACTAGTGTCTGTTGTATTCTGCTGCCTTTCCTATCCTCTACTATCCCCCCTCCCCTCCCCTCCCCTCCCCTCTTCTCTCTCTGCCCCCTCTACTGACATTCGTTTGTCCCCCTTGTATTATTTTTTCCCTTCCCCTCCCTTCCTCTTGTATGTACTTTTGTATAACTCTGAGGGTCTCCTTCCATTTCCATGCATTTTCCCTTCTCTCTCCCTTTCCCTCCCACCTCTCATCCCTGTTTTGTATTTTTATTTCACCATCAAGTGGACTAAAATAAGTGATTCTTCCTGATCATATCAAGGATCAAGAAGGTCATGTGAAGTTTCCCTCTGAAGGATTGCTATAGAGAATCCAGATACAGAAACAGGTATTTTGAGGCTTGAGACCAGAGCACCCTAGGTAAAGCTATCCTTAGAGATGGTGTCTGATTCCTGCATCAGTGCATGTAGTCACAAACAGCAGTGACTCTAAGTTTCTGGTATTAATGGCCAAAGAAATTAGGCAAAATGTGAAGAATTAGAGTTAGAGGTGTAGCTCAGAGGTAGAGCACTTGCTTAATATGTGTGAAGACCTGGGTTCCATCCTCAGCAACACACACACACACACACACACACACACACACACACCCCACACCACACACACACACATACATGAAGAATTGTAATGATAGAATTTTACCCTTGACTTATTGCCCCAAACTCTAGATTGGGATTTAATGTGTACTTGAAGCAACCTTGTAGGGGCCATGATGTTATAAGACAGGGTAATGAATACAAAAAATGAATTACTTTTGTTTGCATAAAATCCCTAGCAGCAATAGATATCTTGGCTGTCTTTCCCTCCCTTCTACTCTTTCTACCTAGTATGATATGCAAATAGATTCCATGAGTTTTCCTCTACTTTATCAGTGTAGACATAGAAAAACTTATATTTAAAAAAAACAGTAAAAATACATTTTTAAGGCAATCAGAGCCAAGTCTGAATACAGGTGGCAGGGTGAGAATTCCAGGGGATTATTGTTGTGTGTATGCCTTGTTGTGTAAGCAAATGTCTATAGATTTTAGAGAGTGCACATAATTGATCTAGGTGATAAAAGGTATGTTGTTTTGGTTTATTTTAAATTGCCTCAGTAATAACAGTGTGCATGGGAAGGGAAGGAAGGTTGATGAAGTCAGACAAAGTCCTGAAAGCTGTTATGATTTGGATCATTAATGTCTCCCCAAAAACTCATGCATGGTCCCCAGTACAGCAAGGTTCAGATGTGGGGCTTTCAGGCAATGATTAGATCATGAGGGCTGTAACCTCTTCAGTGGGTTAAGATATTTGGTGGATTCATAATTTGAGTGGTCTACTGGGTGGTAACTGTAGGCAGGTGGGTTATGGCTGGAGGAAGTAGGTCATCAGAAGAGTGTCCTTGGACTGTATCTTCTCCTGCCCCCCCCCCACTTTTGTCTCTCTCCTTCCTGGCTGCCATGATCTGAGCAGTTTCCCTCTGCCATACCCTTCTGCCATGATGTTCTACCTCATCTTGGGTCCAGAGCAATAGAGTAGACTATGGACACAGGACTCTGAAACTGTGAGTCCAAAATGAACTTTTCCTCCTCTAAGGTTGTTCTTGTCAGGTCTTTTGGGCACAGCAATGAAAAACTAACACATATATGGAGATTCCTTAGAAAACTTGGAATGAAACCACCATTTGACCCAGGTGTCCCACTCCTTGGTCTATACCCAAAGGACTTAAAAATAGCATATTACAGTGACACAGCCACTTCAATGTTTACAGCTGCACAATTCACAATAGCTAAAGTACAGAACCAACCTAGATGCCCTTCAGTAAATGAATGGATAAGGAAACTGGGGTACATATATACAATGGAATATTATTACTCAGCATTAAAAGAAAAGAAAATTATAGCATTTGCAGGTAAATGGATGGAGTTGGAGAATATCATGCTAAGCAAAGTAAGCCAATCCCAAAAAACCAAAGGCCAGATGTTCTCTCTGATAAGTGGATGCTGATCCATAATGGGGGGTGCGGAAAATGGAGGAACTTTGATTGGGCCAAGGGGAGGGAGGGAAGGGGAGGGGGCATGGGGGTAGGAAAGATGGTAGAATGAGATGAACATCAATATCCTAGATAAATGTATGATTGCACTTATGGTGTGACTCTACATTGTGTACAACCAGAGAAATAAAAAGTTGTGCTTCATTTGTGTACAATGAATTGAAAAGCTTTCTGCTGTCATATAAAACTGATTAGAACTAATAAAAAATAAATTTAAAAAAAGAAAAGCTAACATACTCTTGAATCTGGATAATGGGTTTATAGGCTCATTACACTATTTTTGCTCCATGTTTAAAATTTTCATAATGAAAGATTTTTGAAAATTAAAAAAAAACATAACACAAA